GGGGAGAGAATCGGAAGGGTAAGAGTGAGAAAAACTCGTCGGTTGAGATAAAGATAGTTTAATAGAACAGAAAAGGGAAAATGATAATGATAAAATATACAAAATAAGTGAGGGACAATGCAATTGCTCACCACCCACGCTGACCGATAACCAGGTAGCGATCGGTACTTCCTGGATCACGCCTACTGTCTTGATTATGTTCCCTCCCATCTTGTGTACCTAGCTCAGTCAGTAGGCATGGGAGCTGTCCTTGGACTAGGAGGATACTTAGCAACAACTGAAAACATCAGTGTGTTATCAACATTCTCCTCATACTAAATCCAAAACACAGCACTGGGAAGAAATTTAACCCTATCCCAGCCGAAACCAGGACAGTTTCTTGTGCCCTTTTTTTTTTTTTTTGTCTAAAATTCTGTCTGCTTAGCACATGTGGAAGAATCTGATGTTCATGCTGCCTCCGAAGGGCTGTAGGGGGTTTTGGGGTTGGGGGAGGTGTTTTCATTTTTGTAGTGGGGCTGCTCTTCAAATTCCTTATTAATGAACTTGCTTGTGACATCATGGACATATTCAGTAAGCTTTTGTCCCAGAGAATGAAAGTGTTATTTTTGTGTATGACTAATGACTTTTGGGTATTTTTGGCAAAGATTATGACAGAAATAAGTTTGTCTGTCCTTATCACACTGTCCTAGGCCAATTGCCCTTTTGACTAGACATTGTCAAACAGTTCAGAAGGTCCTCAGATAATACGCCTAAGGACTTCCAAGAAAATTTATTCCAAGTGTTGGTATTCCAGCTGTTTCAGTTTCTGAACTTCCATAACCTGTGGTTATTTTCTTCTTCCAGAATGGTACTTGAAAGAACATTTTCTGGCCAATTTTAAACTTTAAGAAAAATGTTCTCTCTATTATCTCAGGTGTCTAGATTCTCCAGTTTCCTACTTCCAACTCTGAACTCTCAAATAGTCTTTCTAGTCTTCCTTGTCTTCTGATTCAAAGCCTATTACTTCTTTCAGATAAAATACTATTTCCAGAGAAGTTTGGAAGTACTCTGTTTATTAAACTAGTTTTAAGCTCAAATTCACTTCCATGGCATTTCTAGATGCCTTCTGCACAGAACATACACGTGAAATGTTTTTTTCTTTTAATGTTGGAATTCTTTGGGCTGTGATCAAGTTCTCTTCTGAAGTCTTCTCTCATTTCTCTGGACCTTCTACTTGTTTCAAACATTTCTCTTGTAAGCGTTAATTCTGCTACAAGTATTCAGTGTTTCTTCCCTCTCCTCTTTCATATCTAGTTTAGGCTACTAAATGTTTTTCTCTTGTATAAAAGCATTTTTTCTTAATTGAAGAACAGATGCCAATGGTTTTGTTTCATAGTGGCATTCATAGGTCCAAATTTCCAAGTGAGCTGAAACAGAAAGTTAGTGTTTTGTTGTGTGTAAACTATACTGCTGCTGTGAAACAACTGGTGATTTGGGGTTGTCTGTGGTCTCAGACTACTGATTTTTCTATCCAACTGTAAATTTAATTTAAGGGGAGGAGAGCTGTTCCAAATTGTAGTTTCATCTTTATTTGACTGTTACCAGCTACGTAATTGGAATTTCTTCATGGCTATATTTAAGAAGACTCCAACTAGAGATTGTGCAAGGCTCCATCTGTAGGGAGAGTGTGCAGGTGGCATGTTGGGAACGGGAGAGGAGAAAATAAGAGAAGCTGCTGATGAGTCATTTTCTTTACTGCTTATTTATACAGCAGAAGAAATCCCATTAGCCTAGATAGTCAAATACCTTGTTGTAAGAAAAAAGCATATTCAAGAGGGCAGTGTTCATGTGCAGAAATAATTTTTTCCTGTAGGTACAGTAATGCACTTTTCTAAGATACATGGCATTTGACTTTTGCTTTGTTTTTGACAGGAAAAAGTGGCCCTGAATGCAAGCACTGTAGGGCTGATCCAGATAAGGAGTGCCGTTTTTGTTCGTGTTATTTGTGTGGTGGAAAACAGGATGCTCACATGCAACTCCTGTGTGATGAATGTAATATGGCCTATCATATATACTGCCTGAACCCTCCCTTAAGCAAGATACCAGAAGATGAGGACTGGTAAATATATACAAGGATGATTTACTTATCTATATTGCCATTCTATACATGGTATCTTTTTGTTATTTGCACCTCGTGAGAGTCCGTACTGAAGAATTTTTAAAATTCTGCTGTGGTTTTCATCCATCTACTTAATACAAACCTTATGTTTTCTGACAAGGTAATTCTTTTAAATCATTCACAAAGGATTAATAGTAAGCTTTAGTGACCATTATGGAGTTTCAAAACTGGTATGTTCATTTTATTCATTATGATCATTATGATCTTCTGTGACATTATCTGATCTGATTGTGTATATCAACAGTGGTTGTTCCCCAGCCTTTTAATTTTGTTCAAGCTTCACTGCTTGAACAATTCTCTTACGCTCACCCTTCTCTTCCCCTTCATCCTCTGTCCCTGTTGCTGTCCCTGTTGCTGCCCCTGTGCCCTTCCTGTATCTTCTCGTTGCCTCTACTCCATTCATTTCTCCTGCTGTGGGAGGACCACCACCTTGCTACTCTTCATTTCTACTGTCCCTGGTTCTGCCAGTAGGAAAATCAAGCTAACTGGCATTGTTAAATCAAGATAATTGTATTTTGAAGAGAATCTGCATGGACCCATTAGCAGCCCATTAAGTTATCTTGGGCTCTGTACCATTTTTTTACTTTATTAGCTATCTACAATTTACAGTGTTTGTATTTATCTCCTGCCTATGACTTACATGAGATACTTATCCTTTATAAATGAGAAATAAATAGAACTTTATTCTAATAAAGTTTCTCATTACATAGACATCAAGAAATGTCTAAGATGTCTATGGGTACATTTTATGGAATCTCTTTGGACCTTGTGAGTAAATTTTATGTAAAAATCTATATAAAGTCCTTTGGAAGTTTTAACATTCTCTGGAAATAAATAATTCAATCTCCTAAACGATAGTGGATGCCATAGTAGGTTTGTTTATTGGTCAGTGTCTAACGGTCTGCGTGTTTTCTGGGGCATTGCGTTTTTTTCTGAACTCCTTCTGTGTTTATGCCAGTGTGTGATTTAGTGATTGAGACCGTTAACACTGATAGGTGTTTCTCAGTGTGTACATTTGGCCACAGGGATACTGTTGTTGGAAGTTGATCTTTTTCCCATGAAACTTCTGCACTGGGAAGAGTTGTATTCAATGTTTTTGGAGGAACTGCTGGCTTGAAACACTGTCTAAAAAATATTTTCAGTACCTACTAGAAATACGTATGGGTCATTGGAACTAAAAATACCATTTATTTGGATATTGTCTATGTGCCTTCCACTTCTTGCACATGCAAAATGGTTACGGTGTTTATTCAGCAGTGTTTATTTCACAGCATGTTAGTCTGAACTATCCCCAAGTTTTCTACTGTCAAGGCAGACTGCTCTTCTGTGCATAGCATCTTCTTGCTTCCTACTACTTCTCAACATAAGTGAGTTGATGTCACGTGTTGGAAACCATTCTCAGCACACAAGTCGTTTATTACTGACTGCAATCCATAAGTGGTATTCTTACCTGATTGCACCTGACCTTTGGATATAGCAGCTGAGAAGTTCTTTTTTGACTTCCTTCGTTCAGAATATTCAATGAGACCATCTGTATGGAAGTACACATGTGTTGGGTCCATCTATTCTTTAGCTGCCCCTTACTCTTAGAACGAGCTCTAATCCAGTACTCCAGCAACAGTAAAGTCCACCTATTTTCCAATACTAATCACAGCATAAAGGAAATATATATGCTTCAAGTCAGTGACTCCCTCCCACAGAACGCCCAAATCCTTTGTTCTACCCTGAAAACAATTAATTCTCTCTAGTTTCTTCTACACCCTCAAATACACAGAATAGGCACGTTTGATAGGCATGTGAGGATACTGATGCTGAAATCTCACCAGCCATCAGTGTCTCTTTGGTTTAGCTAGCGTGCTAAGATTATCTTGGCCTGCTGGGTGCTTCATAGTATTTTTCAGATTAGGTATTAGTGTTCTGGTCTTCACTGGCACTCATTCTTTTTCAAAAGCTTCTTATGAAACATTCTTATGAATTACCCTACTTCTATTTCAGAGGGCTACAGAGAAAGTTTTCAGAATTTTTTTCAAAGTGTAGCCAGTAGTGCTCAAATCTCCCTACCCTCTTACATTAATATCACTTAACTGCACTGCATAGGTCCCCAGGACTGTTTTCCTCCATACAGAGGATTCATTGCTCTGTAGACAACCACATAAGAATTAAATTGGCTGACAACATGGTCTTTAGAGTCCCTCAAGTCATACGTTAAGTGCACTTTTAGACCCTTCCGCTTAAATTTCTGGCAAAAAAATTGAGAATTTCCACAAGTAGTAGAAGTTTAATTCATACAATTAAAATGTCTTGAAAAATGGCTGTCAAGCTTTTTAACTTGTTTTTGTTTGCTGTGTGACGATATGAGTCTTAAGATTTATTCATTTAAGTAGATAGCTGCATCTGTGGATGAAGTCGCTGGGTGGGAGAGGTACTGTTGTGGAGCTGGCTTGTGACAGTTAATTTTGGGATACTTAGTGATGCCAGCCCTGTGCAGTCTTAGTGCTTGGATGTATGTAGAAGGAGTGCGGTTGCACTGGGTGAAGCAGTGTCTCCTACCAAAGAGGAGGTCTGTGTTCTCCCTTCTTTTTGCATATTAGCAAAGAGTCATGGCTGTCTGATCCTTAACTTCTTGACAGATTTTGTTTGGATTAGAAGTGGAAAAATTTCCATTTAATATTTTATAGTGTAAAATTTGGCAAATTCTGTTCAGGGGCTAAGCCTGCAGTTTGGGAAAGGATGATAAATTTCTCTTCCGGAGATTACATCACTCTATATGCGAAACAGTGTTTAATATTCCATACAAAACACAGTTTAAAAAATATTAAGGTACTGTGGTTACCCTATCAAGAAGCAGGGAATGCCATAGTTAATTCACCTTGTGAATTTGCATTATGTCGCATTCCTTCGTTTAATTGGTCATTGCATACTTTTTTTTTTAAACAACTGTAATATCATTCAAAATCTTAGTGTTAGACAATTTCAGCATCAAAATATTTTTTATTTCTTTTTACCTACATAGCTTCATTGTCTTAATGGTTCAACACTTTTATTGACGTGGTGAAATCTGTGTCTGTGGACATCAATCATTAATTCTTCTATTCATATCCACATACAAAAGTTAATTAATAAATCCAAAACAGTAGTAGTAATAGTACTAGCGGTAGTTATCTAAACTGGGTTGTCAATGGTAGCGTAGATCAGGCTTCCTCCACTAGTGGCATATGGACCAAAACCAGCCCATGGGAGCCAGAAACATGGACAATTGCCTTTCCATTGGCATTATAAAAATGTTACCGGAAGCACCAAAAGGACCAGCGTACTCCCTTTCTCTCTCTGCTGTAGTCACTGCACACTCCTACTCCTGCTTTCCTACAAGGATGGCTTTGTGTTAGCTGGAATGAGTCTCAGCGATTATCTGTATTCCAAGTGGCTTCAGTGCTGTGGAGTGAGTGTGTGTGTGCATGCGTATGTGTGTGTGTGTCTACACACATTACATGGCAGCTTGGCTCTGTTTGACATTCAGCTGTCTGCAGTGAAATTTATTGTACTAGAAGCAAAAAATAAGAGTTGAGTGGGCAGGATGTAGAAACAAACCAGGAGTACTGGTTAGCAGCGTACTGTAATCTCACCTGCCTTCTCCTTTACATGATCTAAATTAAAGAGGACAAAATGAAAAGAGAATACAGGAAACATGGAGACTTCTCACATACCATGTGAGAAAGAATAGTTAAATGTTTTGCCTCTAGCACTCTACCTTCAAAGATATTGAAATGCCCTTTTTTAAAAGTTGACAATATTTGTTCATGTTGGGTTCATTTTTTAAGCCATAGGCTTCAGGTGCTTAAGACCGGTATATGTTTGCTAGCTTGAAATATTTAGTCAAATATAAACAAATTGACACTATTTTGGCTACAAGAAGTGTATTGCCATTATTATGAAGTAATTGAGAATTTACTAAAACCTTTTTTTAGGTATTGTCCTTCCTGCAAAAATGATTCTAATGAAGTTGTAAAGGCTGGAGAAAAGCTCAAACAGAGTAAAAAGAAAGCAAAGATGCCATCTGCCAGTACTGAAAGCCAGAGAGACTGGGGCAAGGTAGAGTGTATTTTAGAAATAGCTGTTACTCTGATTGTTCATGTATGTGCTACATTTATAATTCTATTTATATATGCACTACACAAAATTCAGTACTGGGTTGCACAGACAATAAAACAAATGTTTAATCCTGCCCAATATCTACTGGCAATTAAAGCAGTGGAAGAATTATTAAGGTGACTAGAGGTAAAAACAAAAAAATCCAACCCCCGATCCCTCCCCCAAACCCATAAACACATATTACTTAATTAACATTTCTCTTAACAATTGTTAACATATTTTAAAGTATGTGTTTGTTATAATGATCAAATTTCGTGATATCTGCATTGAATTTGCAAATAGTCTTCAGTGTTATAATACTAATTCATTTTGTCTTATGTATTTTTAGGGCATGGCCTGTGTTGGTCGCACTAAGGAATGCACTATTGTTCCTTCAAATCATTATGGACCTATACCTGGTGTTCCTGTTGGGACAACCTGGAAATTCAGAGTTCAGGTATGTTGTTTCAGTATTAGCTGTAATTGAAGTAAGTAAGAATAATAATGAATGGTTGGGCATTAAAATAAATTTAAATTGACAATGGCCATTTTCACCAGGACTAAACAAAGCAAGTACATTATGATTCTAATACTGGAAGTGATGCCGATAGTAGTGAAGGTTAAAGTATACTGATTTTACAATACAACTTAATAAGTCTGTTGTCACTAGGATAAACAAATTTCACGTTAAAATTCTGAGTGGGATTCTTAGTGAATAGAGTCAAGTATTTTCTGAAGTGTACTTCGCGTGAACTGATTATCCCACTTCGGAGATGTAGACTGTAGACTTTGAAAACATTAGATGGTATCACTGTAAATTGACTCCCTATTGGTTTTTTTGGTCATATGTAATGGATGTGCAAATCTTCTTTTAGGCTGATGAACAGCTTAAACCAGTGTAAGCCTCTACTGCTACTGAAATTAGCTGTCCATTCAGCCTTTGCTGTTTCTTGCACTGTCTCATTTTCTGTTGCAAGTATTTCTTAGGCTGTATGGTAAACTAGATTTGTAGAAAAACTGGCAGAAAAATAATCTTATCTGGGGTAGGAGGGGAGTTAATCTTCCCAGTCCATCTCCCATTTTGGTTATATAAGCACAGTGCAAATACTCAGAGGGGCAGGAGAAAACAAAGCAGGGAGGATGGGACAGCTTCCTTTTGTGCCAGTACTGATTTTTTGTGGTTTCGAAGTGTCCAGCAAACTGCAAACTTACTTCCTTTTCCCCCAGCCTTATCTGCTACACTGATTTTTGTTTTATCTTTGTTTTTTTAATTGTTGTTTTTAGTTGGGGAAATACTTCTTTGTTCTCAAAATCAGTGACTTCTTTGTCTCTTGCATGTGTAAAGGATTGTAATTGAATGATTTCCATCATATTTGAAAGAATAGAAACAAGTCTTTTTAAACTGCTTGAGGGGCAAGCCAAGAATCAAAAGCCTCCTCTGATTTGTTTTCTGAACTTTTCCTTACCTGCTTTCTCATGAGAAGAAAACAGATGTTTTATTATTCAGTTGGTAGAAGAGAACACTTAGCAGGCAATTTTCCTCTGATGGTGGTGTCTTCCAGTACTGTGTGAAGGATTCTGGATTTGGAAGGCCATGCAAGTTTTAAGGCTGATATGGTTAGCAGCAGATGCTTTCCCCTCAGCAACAGTTTTCAGTTTCCCTTCTTGGTAGAAATCACAGTGAAGCAGTTGAAACCTGAACTAGTTCTTTTGATCCTTTCTCACTTCGATGTCCATCGTCAACACTACAATCAGTACAAGCCTTAGATGAAGCAAATTAAATTTGTAATATAAAATTATGCTGTTCATCATACCAGCGATTTTATACAAAATGACTTGCTTAAGAGGAAAATTCAGTTTTGATTCTTTGGAATATTTCGTTGACCTGTCCTGTGTTTGAAGAATTTTTTTGCGAAAGGAATTAAAATAAATAGTTAGCTTTTTGTTGGCTTCCAGATTAAGTAAAGTTTCATAAGTAAGAGGAGTTTCTAAAGTCACTTATGCAAACTCAGATTCTCAAAAACAAGTTTTATTTTCACTGAACAACAATAATTGAAATTATTAGTTCACCTTTTTGTTAGGAATTCCATTTGTAACACAAAGGCTAATAGTTTTCAGATCTTTCTAGTGCTAGAAGGAAAAAGGAACAGAATTAGAGCACTGCTTTTGTCAGAAAATTAAGCAGAGAATTCTAATATTTATATATATATATGTGTGGACTAGACATCAAAAGGCAATTACCATTTCTACATAATTATTTAATTTTGGGTACAAATGAAATACTTCGACCTTTTTTTTTTTTTTAAAACGGATTGAAATGTTTTCTACATAGAAAGTTAAGTTATACTTTTGTTTCTCATATGACTGGTCTTTTGTATGAGAAATGAGTTTGTCTCGGCAAATCTATGAGAACTTAGAGACTGTAGTTTCTTTATTTCTGATTTGCGTAGTTTTTTATGACACAAACTCTCTTTTCCCTAGAAGGAAATTGACTAAGTATTGCTTCTGGAGAGAGCATCTGAAGAGCATCTTTGGCATGAATTACTTACCAGAGTTCATCTTTGGGGTGAATCACCTACCAGAAACCTAAATTTAATTGATAAAACCTGGAAATGAAAGAAGGGAGGGAGGAATGAATGAAAGGATGTTTGATACTGCAGGGAAGAGGAGCGCAATAGTGGGGCCTTTTTATTCAGCATACTCATAAATGGTCTGGAAAAATTGGCAAATAGCTGATAAAGTTAGGTGAGAGTGCTAAGTTGTTGTGGATAGTAAACGTGGGGTGGGGAACAGTTCTAACTACATAATTTGTAATGGGCTTTCAGCTACTTATTATTCTTATTATTTAGGAGAGAGATCTTCTAAAAGCTGATCTTGAAAATATGCCATCTTAATACCCAACAGTGATCAAAAAATAAATCAAGTGTTAAACTATTGTGAAAGGAAGGGTCAGGAAAATAAAATGAACAACAGTCAGGATGATTAAAGGAATGGAATGGTTTTCATTCAACTTGAAAGACTTTTCATTCTGGAAGAATGTCGAAAACATGGTGTAGTTTAGATGGCTACAAAATGAGGTACAGTATGAAAAAAATGATTAGGGACTGATATACATACTTTTGTAATGCAAAAAGGGGTCATTAAAAAAAAAAAGTCAGCTGCCTACTTCAAAATGAACAAAAGTAATATTAGTCCATATGAGAAGCGGTACTACTGTGAACAATTTTCTCTCTTGTATACTATGGATCCAAAAGTTTTAAGTAGTTTAGGAAGTCTGAGCCACAGACAGCTGGATGCTGAGAAATTGTGCAAGGAAGTATCATTGTGTCCTTGCATAGTTTTCATACTGTGCACAGCTCTTGTCTGTTGTTAGAGACAGCATTTTTGTCCAGCTGGACCTTTCGTCTGATGTATTATGAAAGTACAAGGCGATAGCAGAAGAATGTAAACTTTCATGGAAGTTGCTTAAAAGTATAGGTTGGGAAAAGGAGTTCAGGAGAGATGTTCCAGCAGACTTTAATAATGTTGCCAGTGTATGCTAGAGCTGCAGCTCTCAGCTGGTCTAGTTGCAGCTTAGTTGCACATTCATTACCAGAGAGTTACCCTGGTTGGAGAACTAGCTTATGATCCATATGTTGTTGCAGTGGCTTCTTCTGTTTCCTTAGGCAGTGTGATAATATTCCTCTGAGTTGGTCACATTTATAGTGTGTTACCTTAATAGTACCTGACATAATGATCTTTACACGGGTCACTGTGATCTTGCTTAGTTAAGGATTTTAAAATGTTACCAAACCGGCAGATCTCCGTCTGCTTTGGATTGTTCTAAATGACTGTGCAAGTGGAGTATAGCACTGAGTACAGTCTTAAATACTGCTTATGGAAAGAATCGTGGAGATTTTTCCCAAAGAAGAAAGCGTACCTTTATATCTTCCAGTGTCACCACTGTCCTACATTGTCCTCCCATTTTTTGGGTGTCCTTACTTTTGGCTTTTCTTCCTTAAAAACAAGTGGAATTCTCACCTTTAATGGCAGTCGTACATTAACTATTTACACAGACACCCCTGTACAATATTTTAAGCAGAAAGTTGATTGTTAAAAGTGATTGTAGATGGCTGGTTGTTTGAAAAAAATGCTAGAAACTGGCTTTTTTGTGTTGCCAGGTGAGTGAAGCAGGTGTTCACAGACCACACGTGGGTGGAATCCATGGACGCAGTAATGATGGAGCTTATTCACTTGTATTAGCTGGAGGATTTGAAGATGAAGTGGTATGTCATTTATACAAGCAACGGTTTTGCTGTTCTAATGTATCAATGTTTGTAAAGATAGAGTTATGTTTGTTGTTGATCCTAAAACTAATGCCTATGCAAATAGGACCATGGAAAAAAAAAAACTACTACTGATAACAAACTGAATAGTTTTTAGTATTTTGGGGAGAAATATGTAAGCAAATCTTTCTTAAAGAATGCTTTTGCTCATACTTAAATGAAATATCTCAATTACAGCTGAATTTTACATTGTTTAGGGTAGCCTGAATACTTTCAGTATACTTTCAGAGTCTGAGTTTAGTATTATTTAAAATCTGATAGTGTAATTATATGCAAATAGTATGTTTTATGTTCTGCTTTGGTCATGATTTTTATTGCTTTCAAGACAGATAGATGCCTCTTCCTTTGGATTTATTGTGTGTCTAAATATGTGATACATTTATTTTAATGAAGCAAGAATAAAAGGTAAATGTTACTTGATTCTGTGAAGTTCTGAAGGTTCTTGACTCCTACTGATGAGCACTTTCAGAACTTCTTAGAAAAGTCTCAATATCTTGTGTTATGATCCCCAAAAGGTGCTGGAAAAAAATTCTACTTTGATGTTAACATCCAAGTAGAGCAACAAAAGCAATTGTGCTGCTAAACAAAACAGTAACTGCGACCGACTTTCATCTCATGATATTGACCAACATTTATTTATGGATAGATTACTGTTCCCTGCAATTAAATAATGTTTATACAGCGTACATCCCTTCTTGTAGTTCTGCTCCATCAGGTGGAATTTTGAATCATGCATTAGGTTGAAGGATAAAGCAGTAAGCAATCTGGTTTTTTACAACATGCATAGCTGTTAATCATAAGGAAAGAGGCACTGGAGAAAGAAATAAGCATCTGAAATAGCATCAGAATGTAATGTATTCTTTGCCAACAGCACCTACCAGCTGCTGCTGCAGAGTATTGCCTCTGAAGGAGTCTGTGTCTCTTTTTGAACAAGTCACATGAGGAGGTACTTGCTGTTGGGATACATTACTACGTCCTTAGAGTCAACCCCAACCCAAGCTCTAGGACTCAGCCAGTGGATCCTAAGAATGCGGTTGCTCAGTAGTTGTACCTGCTGTGTTGGGATGCTGCAGACTCCTTTTTTTTTCTTTTTGGTGGTGATACTGATGTCCCCTTATTTCTGCTGCTGTAATTATTCAATTTAAAATATTTAATAAACTTAACTGGATCCTTTGCATGTCTTTTCCAGTTCACCTAAGTGATGTTGTAATCATGTGTTTTTGTGGACACCTAAGTACTGTCATAGTCTAGATGATATATATAATTTTGAAGAAGCATCGTTGGGGAGAAATATTGCAGAAGTATTGTGGTTTAACCCAGCAGGCAGCCAAACACCACACAGCTGCTCGCTCACTCCCCCCCGCCTTCCCCCCCTGCAGTGGGACAGAGGAGAGAATCGGGGAAAAAAAAGTAAAAT